ACGTTTTTCAAAACCTGGTCAAACATTTATTAATAAAGAAAATAAACAAATACATTAAGGCAGCATAATATGTATATCAAACCATCTCAGATCCTACATGTTTCACGTTATTTGACTAATTAATTGGACTGGAGTATCAATTTTTACCAATGTGATCAGTTTCTGTAGTGTGACCCCACGACAGAAACCTTTCCAGTGTCACCTGTCTGTGTGTGTTTCTGTATGTGTAATGAGTGAAGAAGGCTGAGGAAGGGATGGGAGTGAGGGAGGTGGGGGCTCTTGTGAGGTGAGACGTGTAAGCCTGCTGCTTGTAGCAGAGTTAGTGGGGATTAGGACATGTATATGTGGGATAAGGCCGAGTTATTGAGACCGTGCAGATCACACCCATCTGTCCAAAAAGAGCCGGTCCGCCATTAGCTCCGTCACTCTCTCGTTCTCAGCGTACCCGGCTGCGTGCACGTCTCCTTTTTTTTTTTCCCCCCCTTTTTATTGATTTAGCGATGATTCTGAAGTCAACTGCGGCCACCCGGGCCAGCGCTTCCATCGAGGCCTTTTCCTCAGTTTCTCCAACTCCGAGGGCTCATGTTACTCGACCTCACATGGCCTCTCAAAGGATAAACGCTGAAGGATGTGAGACCTGGGCTAGCAGGGTGACAGCGGGGGCAGCGTCCCATTCATGGGTTTTTGTAGCAACAATGGGAGATGCTCTGGCTTAAAGGGTCATTGCAGTTAAATTAACTAACTAACTATGGAAACTGTTGTGGGTTTTGAATATTTTTTTAAGCCAACTTGAAGCTCAACTGCTGCTGCTGCTTTTAATCTGCAGAACTTTCAAACAAAGAATTGTGTTTATTTGATGAGCTTAAGCATGTAGTTTTTATACCCACATATATGAAAGTAATTTAAATCAGTATGACACAAAAACTAGAAATATGCTTTAACACACACACACACACACACACAAAAGATTGTGCAAATTGTGCAGAATTGTGAAAATAAACATAAACTAAATAAGTAAATAATATATTTTCTCTGTTTGGTTCCAGGGTGTAACTGTATTAATATAAAGAGTCGATTTCTTTGATGAACTGATGCTGGTGCAGCCATTTCTCCTCGGTAAGCTTGTGGACGTTAACGTCTCCCTGGCAACCAGTTCTGACTATTTCACATCTTTTTAAAACCACTCCATGAAACAGGAACTGAATGTTTCAAAAGCCTTTTTTTTCTCTCTCATTCTTTTCTGACTCTGGGGTCAGGTTTATGTGAAAAGCCTTTATAGTGCAGCCCAGGCAGGGTGTGTTATTATATTACTTGAAAATGGCCTCAAAAAACCAATATTGTCATTTATCGTAATAAGATCTAGGACTATCTATCATCCAGCAAAACTTGTTATTGTGACCTAAGGACAAAATAGACATTTTTACTGTTTCTGTAAGATGATAGAGGCACAGTTCAATATACAGGAAAGATTTCAGGATATATGATATCTGTATTTTATTCCCAGTTGGACGGTTTCGGCCTTCTCGCTGTCATCCTGTATGCATGCAGCACTGCTCTCTGACAACTCATCCGCTCGTATTTTCAATCGTTACGGTAATCTCGGTCAGTAGGTAGTTAAATGACAGCAACAGGAGGCTAAACAGCAAAAACAGTGGGTTCAAAGGTCTCACCTGAATGTGCATTAAAAATCGATAGGATAAATGCATGCACGACTGCAGATGCAGAGGATGTAGTATTTTCAGTAGAGCATGAGGTAAGTTCCTCTGTGTCTCTGCCTGTCTTTGTCTCACCCCCTCACCGGAGGCCCTGTTGGTTTAGCTGCTAAGCTTTCCCTGGAAACACACGATGGGCAGATAGAGAAGCTGGAACAGGGAGCGTAAAAGAAACACTGAAAGAGAACAGATGTAATTTTACCAGTCTTCATTCAGGCTAGATTGCCTCTTAAATAATGTACACTGCTCAAAAAAATAAAGGGAACACTCAAATAACACATCCTAGGTCTGAATGAATGAAATATTCTCATTGAATACTTTGTTCTGTACAAATTTAATTGTACTGACAACAAAATCACACAAAAATCATCAATGGAAATCAAATTTATTAACCAATGGAGGCCTGGATTTGGAGCCACACACAAAATTAAAGTGAAATGTTCCCTTTATGTTTTTGAGCAGTATATTTATTCAGTTTTTTTTTCTGTTGTGTAGATTTCAGAAATATTCTGTCTGAAACTTTTGTTTGTGCTTCTCTGGGATCTTTTTTCCACGACTCAGCATGTCTGCTTGCATTAAAGGTTTTGTTTGCTGTCTAAATCAGATTTGTGATGGCACTATTAACTCACTGATTCCACAGCGAGACACTATTAAGACACGCAGAGACTCAGGATTAACAAGTTTAGCTTTTAAGGAGCATCGAGAAATGCTTGTTGTGCATTTCCCCGCTGAGGGTTCTTAGAGGGACAACGCTGAGCTAAAAATGTTCACATTTAAGGTTTTTATCCCAAGTCCAAGAGGCATGGGACATGACTGAGAGACACTTACTGTCAGTGTGAAATTATTTAATACCTTTAATATAAAGCATTTAATAACGTTTTTCAAAAGAGTTGTCTAGATGTGTTAATTACATTATTAATTCTGAAGTTGAAACAGGCTGAACCTTGTAAAAAATATATATAAATGTACTGAGGCTTAGAAAGGGAAGAAGTTGGATTGATATTTTAATTCAACTTTAGAAAATATTTTTTTTTATTTATTATTATATAAATGGCAGATATAACAAGGAAATCTAGCAAAATATTGAGTGGTTTCACCAAGTACAAGGAGAAGAAAAATATTTCCAACTGAACACTTTTCTCAGAAAATACCTAGTAGTAATGTTATATTATAACTTAGACTGTCATTATACAATGATTTGCAAAATAATTAATGCCTCTTTACATTTTCCACACTTATTGGCATTGCATGAGCAAAGTACTCAGGATTTTTTTTTAATGAGATTTAATGAAATAGACCAAGATGACAGAGTGGCACATGATTGTGAAGTGAAAGAAAAATGGTACATGGGTTTCAATTCTTTCTTTCTTTCTTTGCAAAAAATAAAATAAAAAATCTCAAAAGTTTACTGTGCATTTTCCATTTGAATCAAGACTTTGTAAAATCATGTTTCACTATGATCACTGCTGCAAGTCTAATCTACAGAAAATTGACACATTTTAGTAAAAAATAAAACATACTGCTGTATGATCATAATTTTTTTTTCTTGTCTTGCTACAGTCGGTTACAGTTAGTTCTGGACTTTGACTGGGCCATGACATCATAGCTCAAGCTGTATGTTCAGGGTCCTGCTGGAAGGTGAGTCTCTGTCCCAGTCTCAAGTCCTTTAAAGCCCCTAGCAGGTTTTTATTCACCCAACTTATCATCAACTCATGCCAGCTTCCAGCCCCACAGCATAATGTTGCCACCACCATGTTTTACTCTGGGGATGGTGTGATCAGGGCGATATTCAGTGGGATGCATGTTGGCCAAAAATGTCTGTTTTGATCTCATCTGACCAAAGCAACATTCTCCCTGAGTCAAACAGCAAAATGTATTACTCATAGTTTCCTTTCGATAATAGTTCTCCTATTGCCATTCAACTGATTCTGTCAACTGACTTTTGGATCTCTCCGACTCCTCCAGAGCTACCAGTGGTGGTTTTGGGTATGGGCAGCGTGCCCAGGATGACATGGCCAACAGGGTGGCATTAGCACTCGAAAAGGTCATCTCACTCTACAGCTGAATAGATACACTGATGCTTTGTGTCTGATTCACATTAGCAATAATCTACATGGCTTCTGTTTTTTTCTTAGTTTTTTTCTAGTTTCAAATCCAAAATACTTAGATTGGCCAAGCCTAAACTGGATTGTTTCCTTCTATACAAATATTTAAAACTACATTTAACAGTAATAAAGCTCTATTCTGTTTGTCAATGTACAAAAAAACTATATTTTTAGATGGAAAAACTCACCTGAGGTGGGATTTATGCAAGGACTGCACTGGTCCTGAGCCTTCGGGTGCCTGTGGGATCAATACTTTCCCTGCCTGGAGTGTCATTTTCAGTAGTTTGGTAGTTTGTAGTTGTTGAGCCATACTCTTCCAGTTTTCAGGATAAGTGTTCCATGAAACAGGGTAAAGCTTGAGATATATTCGGATCTAACTCTGCCTTATACATTTGCAGAAGTCTGCTGTATTCCTTGGTCCTCATGGTTCAGTTTGTTCACAGATGTTCGACAGCAAACCTTCACGGTCTTCATAGGACACCAAATAACACACTGGTATGAAGGGAATCAGTTTTTTAGGGGTATCAGATCAAAATGAGTGACCTTAAAGATTTTTGGTTGTACAGAAAACTTTGCGTTCTTCTCTTACACCACAATGAAATGAGTGTTGTAGATCTGATGTGCCAAAATGTCCAAAGGCTCAAGGGGGCACGATGACTTTTGCACAAATCAGGTCCAAGCGCCAACACTAACACTTTGGTCAGAGGGACTGTCCACAGTGAGGCAGCACAGAGTCTGCCTCACTAGAGGCACGACAACAAATGTGTTTTCAGCTAAGTATTGAGTCAGGCAGAGTCCAATTTAGCAATATGACATAAAAGTGTGAGAGAAAACTTCTGATGGAATAGTGATGAGCTGGTACCCGTAGAAAGTTAGTTTCACAGCGTCTCTAAGAGTTTATCGACTGATAGGCAGCAACCCCAAAGAGTGAGATGGGAACGTGAAGGTAAGTCTGTCTGTGTGAGCATTAAGGAGAAACAAAAACCAAGATAATAAAAACGGATAAAAGATAGAGAGGCAGCGAGACATTGCCAGAGTGTGTGAACATGCCTGTGAACCATGAGAGAGGGATGAGGGGGGAGGCAAAGAGGGGAGGGGGTTGTTGCAAACAGGGATTTGCAGTGAGGGGGGGGGGAAGAAAGGGGGCAGTGGCACTCAGTGACAGGGAGCTAAACCCACACACCATACACACACACACACACACACACACACACACACACACATACACGCACATACACACACTCTGTTTCCTCTGTGTCTCTTTCCAAACGTGTCAGTCAACCAGTCAGTCAATTATTTGTGTGTGTGTGTCTGGTGGGGATGCCTGAAAAAAGCTCGTAACCATCCTTCATCTCTATGACCGGCGGTAAGACGATTTCCTTCCTCCTTGATTGACGCCTGTCTGATTTCCAGGCCTTCCTTTCGTTCCGCGTTCGTTCCACTTTTGTTCTTTCGCGAAGTGTGTTTTTGCCGTGACTCTGGTCCGGAGCCAGACTGAGGCCTCCATGGAGCCCTGACACTGTTTGCTTTCTTTTACAATCCATTTCAAGCCGCAGGGGTGCAGGACTAATGGGCTGTGCACCAAAGGCACACGTTGAAGGTGGATTTTTAATTAGGTGTTCATTTGGGTAATTACAATAATTAAATCTGAAGGTCTGTAATTAGTGTAGGTGGAAAACAGCTTAGTTCTTCTCGAGCTTTCTTTGATATCCTTAGCGGCGCAGATTGGATTAAAAAGTTTGGGCTTTTTGGTGATATTAGAACGCAATGTGTGGTGATTTCTTTGAATTGAGCGATTGCCTTGCTAGACTAATGTGAGATTATTGTTTTCCAAGATTTAAAATTATAGCATAAAACTTTTTCAGTGATCATCAAGTTTGTCACAAGTCATATTCTGACTCCTGAGCCATGTTAAAAATGTTTTTCACTTTGTTTTTTTGAAAGTCTCTTGGCCTGGATTAAAGTCTGAATCTCTTGATAATTGGATTTGGTGTCTTAAGTTGTGTATCTTTCTGTCAAAAATGATTAGACCCATTTAATTTTTGTCCTCAAGTTAGTACTGAGTCGAGTGGGATGTTTATTATTATTATTATTATTATTATTATTATTATTATTATTATTATTATTATTATTTGATGTTATATGTATTGGGCTGTCTTCTGTACAGTAGGTATGTAAAGATAAAACCTCAGGATGCAACCATTCTGAAAAGTAGTTTAGAGTATCTACTTTATTTATTTATGGAAAGGTAGGCAATTTCTTGATTAGATAATTTAAAATAAACAAAGTTATCTTAAACAAAGGTATCACTTTTATACAAACGTGTGCAGCTTTTAGGTCCTTTGTACAAGTACTAAAATATTGAGTTTATAAAGTGACAGCAAAAGGATGGTACTGTCTGGTCAGTCTGAGCAAACTTCTAGCTTTTAAAAATTAGCTCATTAGTCTTTGAGCTGCTTTGTGCTAATTGTGTAACATTTGAAATTTTCCAGCTTTTTAAATGATTTATGAGACGTACAAACAACATTTTTATGTGAGGTGAGTTTTAGTTTGAAAAGTCGTTAATGGCATTGCAGCAAACTTTCTAAAAGGTTTGTTGCAATGTCAAAGTACAAGCTTAAAACAGAAATAAATACAGTATGAGCTATTCTACAACCTGCACCTGTTAAGTTATTCTTGTTTGAACAATCCCAAGCTGACCTGCTGGCTGCCAAAACATTTTGACAGTGAGAAAGCATGTCTGGTTGTATATTTCAAGAACTACCATATGAGTTATTGTGAATCTGACTAAATGGAGAGTAAAGACGCAATCTCTTTCTTGTGGCCCTGGTTTTGTTTCTTCAGGACACAAGAATCACAGACGAGATCAAGGAGACGAACGGTTTCTCACAGTGGAAATTCCTCAATCACTTTACCTCCTGGTACCACTACTGTTGCCGTCTATGAGCTGCGCCGTGGCAGCGGAGAGGGCTTTCCTGAAATCCTGACACACGGAGAAACCCAGTAAAAGCTCCCAGTAGCAGCAGCAGCAGCAGACGCCATGTCTTCTCCTTCCCTCCCCATGCCGTCTCTGCCCCCTAGCCCTCTGGCCATGGAGTACCTCAACGACTTTGACCTTCTCAAGTTTGAGGTGAAATCGGACACGCCTCCACTCCCTCCTCCATGTTCGTACCCCAAATCTGGCCTGCCCCATGACCCCTCGAGCTCTCCGTATACCAGCAACCCTCCACATGACTCCAGTTTGAGTTCCAGTCCTTACAACTCGCTGCCGCCTTCGCCGACTCTCAGCGATGCACACCCGCCACCCTCGGGCTCTTCCTCCATCTCGTCATCGTCCTCCTCCATTTCCTTCCCTCTGTCCATATCCAACAGCTTCACCTCTGGCATTAGCTCTGGGTCCCAGGGGAACGTGGAGAGCAGTCCCGCGCATGGTGGCCCTCAAGGCCCCACTCCTGCCTCCCTTGAGGACCTGATATGGCTGGCAGCGCTGCAGCAACAGTTTGGAGGGGAGGTGACGGGGCCCGCCACTTTGCTAGGAGCTTTGGGTGGAGTTCCAGAGAGAGGCGACAGAGAGAGGGGACCCGGGAATGGCTTTCTGGGATGCGAAGATGCAGTGGAAGCTTTGCTGAACTCAGCTGCCGCAGCGGTCAGCTCACAGGTGATGGCAACAACTCCAGGGCTATTTTCTCATTTCTTGCGCCTGTATCCTTTGAAGGGCTGACTTTATTCTTCTTGTTCAATCTTCCAGTTCCCAGGTCTTTCTCAAAGCTCAAACAGCAACCTGGGAGACTCCAGTAGTGACAGTGGAGGAGACATCTCCTGCACCAAGGCGGCAGACATGTGCCATCGTCCGCTAGTCTTCCTGTCGTCTGCCCCTCCCACGCTCCCTAATGGTGCCCCTGCCTCAGTTCCTTACCCACAGCCACTCAGCCCCCAGGGCCGCCTTCATCACCACCAACATCACCATCATCATCCTCACCATCCCATGCATGCCAACCACCACCATCATCACCAGTCACAAGTCAACCAGGTATACGTCACGTATCAGACTTGTCCTCGTGATAACGGTTCGCTGAAAGTGCACAAAAGGAAATCAAAGATGCAACACACTTCTACACAAAAGGTCTAGACTTTTGACCACCAGTTTGACAGGTGACAACGTCCTCACAAGCTTAAGCCTTCCCCCACCTGCAGAAAGTTGTTGAAAAGACAGACTATTATGTTACCCTTCGTGTTTATAGAAGGTCTTTTGTGAATCGTGAAAGTTTCATTAACAAGTAAACAAGGAAAATGTGCCACATAAAGACTGACTGTGACTGAGAGTAGGTGAAAAGTTAGAGTGGGGTAAAACCAGGGAACTAACCCTTGTTTTCAAGATCTTTGCTTAGGTCATATTCAGAAAGGACATTAAAACATTTTTCAAAATATTTTTCTCAATTACAAAAATAGCATAATTATTCTGTCAAAAAAGTTAATATTTATCATCCTGTGTTCATATCAAAATAACCACTCATGTTGGATTCCTTCTAGGTATCTGAGGTTTTCTTTAAACTTTTTGAATCTGAATCATGTCATAGAGGATGGGCAGTCGCCATTCATTGCCTTTGGAGACCTAAAATGGTGCACTAAGTAATATTAGCCAAAACAGTTAACTTGTTGAGCTGTTTTTCATTGAAACAATCACTGCAACATGTTTGTAAACAGACTTTATGTTTAAGATAAATTCAATAAACTTTAAACTGAGAGTAGTCCAGCTGCAGGTCAGAAACCAGTGGGATATGCTAATTGTTCTTAATGACAATGCTAACTACAATTAGCAATGGAAACAGGTAACAACACTCTACAATTTATGCTTTCAAAGATCATAGAAGTGTTTCTTTAATAGAAGCTTTAAAGTCTCATGTCTGAGACCAAATAAACTCAAAGAACTACCAATTGAAAGTTTAACTAAAAGTTTATGACAAGAGCTATAATGATTTATAAGGCAAAATCACCATGTTAGACTTAGACTGAACTTTAATTTGTAATACCAATGTCATGAAGTTGGTATTCTGATGCAGAAAGCAGCAGCTTCTTCACCAACTCAGGCCTCAAATTCCAATATGGCTGCCTCACACATAGAAAGGTGTTACTAATCACAGTTATTAACTGTTAATTTGCACTTCTATGGATTTGTATTGCATATTTATCAGCTATAGACAATCCAGTTTAATTGATGGTAGAGGAAGTGCCTTGTCAGTGTTTAAATGCTTAAAATTTGGGGAAATTTGTTATTTGTTTGTTTTGCAGTCCTGTCATTTAGAATGAAGAAATAAGCAACTCCTTCTGGTTTTTTTCCCAACACTTTTAAGCTAGAGGTGACAGAAGTCACAGATTCCAGTTGCAAGCAAGATTAAGTCACAACTAAACCAAAGCAAAAACCATAAACTTTCTTTAAGAAGTCCTTTAAAAGCACAACACTGCTAAATCATTTGAGTTTGCAAGTAGATATATAGTCACAATAATGTAAATACATAAAAACATTAAACTGTAAAGAGGTTTAACTGTCTTTTACAATATAATCAATCTTTATCTGTTTGTAGCCTTTGTATTACTGACCACAGAGATAGATCAGAGTCATCAGCATAAAGGCATTAGCCTCTGTTTGCTACTACTAAAGCAAGTTTGCATTAAATCATTCTGAAATGATCTTCAGTGAATGCAGTACCACAGGTAAATAAACTTTATAAGCTGTGTTCTGGTTGATCAAGATGTCTCGATGGATCTTTATATAGAGCACAGTGTGAGCTTACGATAATATCTGCTATTATTGCTGTACCTAATCCTGATAACTGTCACCCACACTTAGTCAGATTACATGACAGATTATGGACATGTGGTGCCGAAATGTGCATCCTGACAGACAGACGTGCTCACGCACACACACACGCACACACACACACACACCAAGTTTAACACATCACACGTAGCCAAAACATCATAGTAACATAAAAGTCTAAATGTTTCCCAAACCTATTTCACACTCCTTTAACATGCACACTCCTCTCGGCGTTGAAACTGTTGCCAGCTAGCTAACTGTGTGTTTTGCCCATCTGCTCAGCCATGTGGGGTGAACGAGCGCTTCTCCGACGAGCAGCTGGTGAGCCTGTCGGTGCGCGAGCTCAACCGACACCTGCGTGGCGTGAGCAAGGACGAGGTGGTGCGCCTGAAGCAGAAACGTCGCACGCTCAAAAACCGCGGCTACGCCCAGTCCTGCCGCTACAAGCGCCTGCAGCACCGGCACGCGCTGGAGTCAGAGAAACACCTGCTCACACAACAGGTAGACACACACACACACACACACACACACACTGATGTTTAAAACTGTCTGACAGACTTGGAACCCCATAGGTGACACTTTATTTGACGGGGTGTGCATATAAGACTGACGCGACGCTGTTATAAACGCGACGAAACCTCTGTGATGAAGATGAAGGAGTTTTCATGAATGCTAATGACTGTTGTCATGAAGTGTGATTCGGTAAATACAGACACTTTTAATGCAAAGTTAACAATTTTAAGGAACTTTTGATGCAAGGTATAATGCAACTTTGCTGTAAAAGGTGTCAGTATTTACCAAATAATGCAAAGTTGACACTTTTAATGCATTTTAATGCGTTAAAAGTGCATTAAAAGTGTCATCATTTACCGAAGGACACTTAATGACAACAGTCATAAACATTCGCTAAGACTCCTTCATGTTCATGACAGGCGTTATGTCATGTCAGTCTTATGCACACCTCGTCAAATAAAGTGTTACCACAGTGTTAAACATCAACTTTCTGTGCATTTCATTGGGATTTAATGTGATAGGCCAACACAAACTAGAGGGTCATTGTAAAAAGGAAAGAAAATAATGATATGAAAAGTTTACCATATTTAGGCCTGTTGTGATAACAAATTTTGCTGGACCTTAAATTGTCCCAAACGTTATCGCGATAAACGATAACATTGTTGCTTTGAGACCATTTCCAAGTAACATCATGGAAATTGCATAATAATGCAAGGACACGTTTTCAGAGATTAATAAACTTTAAATTCTCATGAACATTTACCACTGGGACTGGAAGACATTTGAAATATCCAAAATAAACAAACAAAACAGAAACAACAAATAAAATGAATTATGAAGTTTCTGTGAGCAAAACTGCCCTTCAAAATAAGGGCTTGACTGAAGACTTTTATCATCCAGTTTTGGTAGAAAGAGAGAGAAATTTGAAATTATTGAGTTTGTTTTGATTTATCATGATGTTAATTTATTACTTTCTGCAAGTCACCTAACTTGAAGCTAAAGTCCGCCTGTGTGCATTTTAGCGTCAGTATGCATCCAGAGGTTCTGTGAAGCTCTTATAGCAGCATCACGAAGACCTTGATGCTGACTAGGTCAGACAGAAAAGTGTGGAGAAGTTTAAAACAGTATGTTATGGAAGTATAATCCCAAGCTTTGAGTATTATTTACTCTTTCACACAAAACAAAAAGCAATAATCAGAGAATCAGCTAAAAAGCTCCTGGTGTCTCTGAAAAAGAGATGTTAAGATCCACAGCTCAGGTGGGACAATCGGTTGACAGAGCAACTTTTTCTCCTGAACTCCTCAAATCCGGCCACGATAGATGAGAAGCTAGAAAGTCATAAAAAGTCTTGTTTGCATTTTGGCGCAAGACGTGTAGGGGGCACAGCATGTGAAGGAGGATGTTCTGGCGAGAGAGACAAAAACTGAATCTTTTGGCCTGAATGCTAAAAACTTACACTGCACATCCACCTCAACCTGCCCACTGTATGGTGGTGGTCATATCATGCTGTGGGGAGAAATCTGAAGGAAGCCAGTGGGATGGGAAGGTGGATGGAGATAAATGCTGAAAGAAATTTCTTGATTTATCTTCATGAAACACTTGAAGGTGAATCTGTATTTTTCACTTGGAAAACGATCTAAAGCACACAGACTGCAGTGGGATGGTTTCAATCAACACATATAGTCAAAGTAAATTCAAATGAGAATTTAGATTTTTTTTTATTTTTTATTTTTTTTACTAAAAACAAAATAAAACAGTTTGAACTATTTTTGCCATTGCAATTGGACACCTAGAGCTACAGTTGAACCAAAAGGTTGTAAATAAAATGTAAAAATTGAATCATTTTTATCATCGGGAACAAACTACTTAAAATATTTTGTTTGGGAAACCATAGTTTATACAAAAAACAAAAATAGCAAAAAATAAATAAATGAAGAAATGAAATAACTTTCAAATAATTAAATATATAACATAATAGATTTTAAAAAATGCTTGATGAGATTATGAGGGTATGGCTTTGAGTCTGTGTCGGTACGTCAGCAGTGGATCCCAGATAGAGAAGAACTGATCCCTCAACCCTCTTAGCGAACGCCTAATATTTCTGTATGAACTGCATCAGATCTCATAGACATAGACCGGCTTTAGGTGGGTCAGTGTAATAATAATATCCTTCTACATGCAAGCAATGATGTGTGTGTGACGTTTCTTACAAAGTTTCAATGAACGGGAAGTTAAAACTTTGGGAACGTGAAACAATGCAGACCTTACCGGAACATTCTGCTGATGTATTTTACCGACTATTTCATTAAATCCTTGCAGCACCATTAAGAAAAACTCAAAGAAGCAATAATTCTCTGTTGTTTATTTCGTTTTTTCCCCCCCAATTCTTTAGCTGGAACAGCTGCAGTGTGAGTTGACCCGGGTGCTGAGGGAGAGGGACGCCTACAAGGCTCGCTACGAGAAACTCCTCAGCACAAACCCGGGAGCCGGCGGCGAGGCGGCCCCTCAGACACGCACCAGTAACCCGCCATCCCCGCCCCCCGACTACTTCCTCTGAGTTTATCAAGCATTTTAACAAGACCAGCCAACATGGAGCAATAACTGATGAGTGATGACACTCTGGGGGACGCAAGATCTGTGTGTGTGCATTGTTGTGTTTATGTGTGAGAGGCATTTTAAAGAGAGGCGTTTTCAGGTAGTTTTTGGGCTTTACGACTGTGAAAAACACACTTTGAGTGACGGAAAGAAAATTAAGCGATCTGACTTTGTAGGTAAAGAGCCTTGCAAAAGTTTTCATATCCCTTGAACATTTTTTTTTCTTTTTTTTACATTTTGACACATAAAAACCAAACATTATGTTTTTTATTGACATTTTTATTCTGGACCAACACAAAGCAGTGCATAATTGCGAACTGAAAGGAGAAGTTCTTTTTTCTTCTCTAAATCAAAAAAAAAAATGTTGTTCAGTCCAGCTGAGTCAGTACTTTGTAGAAACTCATTTTGCCGCAATAACAGCTCAAGTCTTTTCAGGGTATTTCTCTAAATGGTTGAACTGAAATTGTTCCAGCCTGAGTCCAGCTCAGTCAGATTCAATGACAAAATTTAAAGTCTTAGCACAGTTTTTTTTTTTGTTTTTATTAATTTTATGTCTGAGCCATTCTAGTAACCCGGTATGCTTGGAGCCAAGCCATTCGGCTTTACCACTCATATTTTTAAGCTTTTGCAGGCTCCAACTAGTTCTCCTCTATTGTTGTTCATTTCCCATCAGCTCTAACCAACAGGTGGAGAAAAAAAGTATGTATGGCAGGAATGTCCTGGTTTTGGTGATCATATTCCTTCCACTTCACAGTAGTTTTGCTACTTTCTTTTGGTCCAACACAAAAAAAAGAATCTCTAAAACGCCTTTGATGGGCATTATAATGTAAAATTGACTTTTCCGAGAAAGAGCAGGAGTTTTAAAAGGGACAAAGACTCAAATTCAAGGCACTAAATTACAAAGTAAAATTGTATTTTTATAGCAACTCAAGATAACATCCTAGATTGTGCTACATAACGGCACTGTGTACCTGAAAAACACACAAAGCTGCCTCTTTAAAGTACACTGCTCAAAAAAATAAAGGGAACACTCAAATAACACATCCTAGATCTGAATGAATGAAATATTCTCATTGAATACTTTGTTCTGTACAAAGTTGAATGTGCTGACAACAAAATCACACAAAAATCATCAATGGAAATCAAATTTATTAACCAATGGAGGCCTGGATTTGGAGCCACACACAAAATTAAAGTGAAATGTTCCCTTTATTTTTTGAGCAGTAGATATGGTTATTAAGCTACAAAATCTAAAAGGAAAAAAATAGGGGATATTCACATTTTTGCAAAGCACTGAATATACATTTTTCTGTGAAAGCACAAAAACCTCCTGAGAGCTCTCCTGAAACCAGTGCAACAGATCAAAAGAGCTTCACAGTCCCTCGCACTGCTGAGCGTGGCATCTATGCAATAATAGAATATATCTGCTATTTCCATATGTCCAAATGAGTAACCAAGGCTCACTGTAGCATTTTTCTTCTTCTTCTTTTTTTTTTTTTTTTTTACAATAAGCTGCTAAAGCTGCAGAGGTCTGAGTAGTGCAGTGATGATACGTGGAGTGATATGGGATTGGATCACGTTTCCATGGTATGCAGTTGAATATTTGCCAGCTAATATTTCACAGTTGCCTACCAAAGTTTTTAAGCTCACCAACACTTGTTATTCTTTGTAAAATAAACAAATAAATAAATAAAATGCAAAAAAAAAGGAATAATCATAGATTAAAGAATGTACAAGGATACCTTTCAGAGGAATCCGTCAGTGATTGTGACATTGCCCTTGTGTTTTAGCTAAAGGAAGCTCCTTTTCTTACTAGCTGAACATATTAGTTAGTGGCCTTCAGCCAAGAACAAAGTACAGACTTGCTGTTTGCTACAAACAATCAAGTTTTGTTTTTTGTTTTTTTTCTGCTAACGCAGAGATGTAGGGTTCTGGAAATGTATTTCGAAGCAATCCATCGCAGAGTAAAGACACAGAAAGCTTGGTGTAAATAGGAAGATGTTTTTGGGGGAAGACCTCTGCAGGTCTCCTTATCCAAAGCAAAATGTGACACCACAGAGCTGGTCACTGTGGACTCTGTGGGACTAATTAACAGTTCAGGGATCAAAACAGAGACGGAAACACAAACTGTTCTTGAGATATTTTCTGAGCTAGAGTTACAACGCCAGATTTCATTCGTTAGAGGCTATTTATTTTTGTGTGAGTGTAGGTACAATAAAAAAGGAAAAAAGAAAAGAAATCAATTGTTCTTTTATTTATTCACTTATTTATTCAGTATTTAATGTTTATTTATGTACTTATAATTATTTCACTGGTTTCCATTCCATTAGTGTGTATTTTTACTTTCCTACAGTTTATCATTTTACTCTGTCGTGACTAGAATTAACATTATTACAGAAGCGAGGACCATCGCCGTGGTTTCCCGCTCCCATTGTAGTGTGGTTTCATACGCGTATGAAATAAACAAAGTTGTTTAAAAAAAAAAAAAAAGAAAACAACCTTGCATTGTGTCCATGTTTTATTGCACACCTTGCAGCGAGGTGTTAACCTCCTCTCCTCTCACGTTCCCATATCCGTGTATCTCCCACATTCTGTCCCCGGTAGGCCTTTTTTTTTCTTTTTTTTTCTTTTTTTTCCTTTTTTTTTGGCAGCCACATGCCCATCCATCCCTCCCTTTATCTCTGTGCTTCTATAGTGAAGCGTTGACCCTGGGTGTGTGCTGTTTGGGATGACCTCATCTTCGGCTCTGCCTCCCCCTCTGTGTGTGTGTCTCTCGTTCTCTCTCTGGCCTGTATAATAGGAGCAGGATTAGGGCTATAATAGCACTATGGCTGTTCACTGCCGGCATCCATTGTTGCTTTGTGAGGGAGGGGAGGGGGGGACTGGCGGAGGGCGTGGGGGGGGGGGGGGGTGAATAGCACGACTGCTAGTGGTCAGACATATTCTGACACAAAATGCATCCAAAACACACACATCTTGAATAATCTATCAATCTACCTGTGCTCATGCAGATGTGTGGCAAATATATCTAAAGGTGTTCAAAAGCAGGAGACAGAGTATTGTAGTAGAGCCGGCCCAAGGCAGAAGTGCAATAAGCGACCACTGAAGGCCCCCTGCTGGCCTGGAGGCGCCAAGGGCAATCGAGGTTTCAGAGGACAGGATGAAAAATGTTCTGGTTGTAGAGACACGATTCAAACGTCAGCTTAGTGCGTCACAAAACAGAGTAGTCATAAACCTCTGAGTTTTTAAGATAAGTAAGTGGCCGTTCTTCAGTGGCATGCCCAGATATTTTGGAGGAAAAATTATAGTGTATTAAAAAAAGGCTACCTTGTGTGGCAGTTTGAAACATGGGCTGCCTTAGAAGTGTGAGATTTATTACAGGCCACACACTACACTGTAAATTTTTGTTTTTATTTTTAATTCAGAAGGGCAGTGTTTGTCAATAGGAAAACAAGCAGATGCTGTAGCACCACCTAGTGCAGTGGTGTCTAAAGTGCAGCCCAGAGGCAATTTGTGGACCTTGAACTGATTTTTTTATGCCCCACCCCCAACTGCAGTTCAAGAATGGTACAAATTCGTTTATGAAACTTTTTACTTTTAATCAGTAAAATTATTACCGTTGCTCATGGCCCAGGTCAGATTAGCTTCAGCCTCGGAAAAACAAACAAACATATTCATGCAAAATAAAAATTCCAAGAGTTATCTACTACAGTTTTTAAAAGAAAAACCCTCTGAACATTCCTTTAAGTAATTAATTCATTAAAGAAAGTAGACGACAGCACATCAAACATGGTCAATATAAAAAGATGAAATGGACCGCTGTGGCGGTGGTAGTTGTGGCCATCATGTCAGATCCTCCCTCTGGTCCTGTAGAATCCCAGATCGGCTCTGGGAGTCAGATAGACTGTCATAACTCTGTGTTCCTAAAGAAACAACCCAATAAATTGCTTAATTGCACATATCTCCCAAGGATACGCTCACTCTGTAACCAATTAATAGGGAAAACGCTTGTCTTGTACTGCCCTCTAGAGGCCGTGTTCTGCATCGTCCCCGTCTCCGGTACCAGAGGTTAATGAGAGCTTCGTGACACTTACCATCCTTCCACAGTTCTGCTTCTTCTCAAGCTACACCCCAGTTCTGTTTTCTCTCCTTTTAATTAATTAACTACATGCATCTGCAGCAGATACCTGCAGAAAAGTTCCTTTCTTCCTGTCTTCCTTTTTTATTGGCCAGATTCACCTTTCCTCCTCAGCAGGAAATCTGGGTCCGGAAAGCATTTAGTAGGTGTGAGTCACACAGCAGTCAGTCTGAAGTGATGAATTACCGAGCTGCCTGCGGAGCTGGACCCGGGCCCTATAACCTGAGAAAGCAGTGAGAGAGCAGGGAGACAAAAGAGAGAGAGAGAGAGAGAGAGAGAGAGAGAGAGAGTAGGAGGGAGGACGCAAGGGAGGAGAGAGAGAAAGATTGAGAGAGAAAGAGAGAGAGTGGATCCGTGCTTACTTTGTAGTTGCCGACAGACACCTGAGAGGTGAGAAACCAGACCGGGCCGGTGGAGCTGGGGCTCATTAAATGACTGGGCTGGGGGTTCAGAGGGTCGTTCCTGGCGTTACTCTGTGTCTTCCGGACTCCTCACTCCCGATCGCTTTATTTCAGCTTGCAGATGCCGACAGATGTGCCCGAAGACAGGCTCAGCATCGAGGAGAATGCCGCCAAGGTAAGGAGGGCATGGGGGCACCGAGAGCCCCCTATCACCCCTCTGGAACGACTCAAACACATTAATTATCAGCGCTGTTGTTGTGACTGCTCAGAGTCACGGAGACTCTGTATGTAGGTGCGTTTTCTATATAGGTGAGTGTTAAATGTGGATGGAGAGTGGGTGTCCCTAAGTTTTTTATTTATATATATATATATATATATTTTTTTCAATATTGTCTACTAAAATTAAAGTGCTTTCTCATGTTATGTTATTTATACAAAATAATATATTTTATATGTAATATTTAAAATTAAACACTTTTCCTCTGAAAACATCTGAAGGAGTTAGCGCCAATTAGCAGAGCGCTAGCAACTGGCAAGCTAGTCCTGCATTAGTGTTCATATATTTCCACACAATTTCGCAAGTTATGGAAAAAGAAATACAGTAAAATAATTTTTGTTTAACACTGCTTGCCTCTCTAATGTGACTTCTTGTTATCTTAACAAGTATGTTAGAACACAGTTGTCAAAATCTTTTCACCAAATGGCAGAGCGGTTAGCAACTAGCTGGCTAGTAGTAAATTAGTAGTAAATGAGTAAGATATATATATATATATATATATATATATATATATATATATATATATATATATATATATATATATAATTTTTTTTTACACAATTTCACAATTTTAGAAAAACATTGCAAAATATGTTTTGTTCAAAACCTTTACCTGTGCAGTACATGTTTGTTACATATTTAAAATTGATCACAAACGGGAACGATGACGGAGATAAATATCGGTTGTTAGTTAATATCAGATCACTTTTAATCAGATCAATACAGATGTGTTAAAAAAATATCGGTCGTAGTTACTTAAAGTATTTATTGGTTTGGCTGCAGGGTTTATTTGAAAAAACTAATCCTCTTGAAGAATGCAATGCTGTCCCACTCCAGTGTGTGACCAAACTGGTGACCAGCATTAGGGGGAGGTACCAGGCTGTACTCATTGCGTATGGGCCACTCACACACTTCAGAGGCTGCTGTTTATTGAATTAATGAATTGCTTGTCTTCAAGCTTTAATCATCCGATCCAATAAATGCCATCAAACAAGAGTCAATAGCAAAATAAAATTTTTGCCATTGGCAGGGAAGATTCGACACGTCTACAATTCTGCTGCTCAAACCACGATTTCCTAACAAACATGGGATTGTGCAAATGGAAATGAGAAAGATTTAAAATTGTTTAAGATTTATTGCCAATTGGCATAGTCTGCCATGCACACAATTTTCTTAGCTTTTTTCCTTCGTGTATTTTTATTGTTGCTGTTTTGGAACTGGTGCCACGAGGATGACTCTTGCTCTGTTGACGAAGGAGAAAAGAGACAAAATTCACACATTTTCAATGTGTGAAAATTGTACTCATGTCTTGACAGTTGGAGATTTCTTTTGTTTGTTTTTTGGTTCTTTTGGTTTCAACATGTCTCTAGATAAACTATGAGAAGAAGAAAGTTTTGGAACTTACTGAAAGTGTGTTACTGTGTGTTTTGTTGGTTCAGTGTGACAGCATGACTCTGCCCAGCACCCCCACTGTCCGCAGAGGAAGCACTCCTCTGCCCATAAAGCACCAGCTCAGACGAGAAGAAGCTGTTCACGATGACGTGGACTGGGCCTCGGGAGCTGCCGGGCCTTCCCCCTCGCCGCTCGGCTTCAGCCCGGCCCTGGACGACACTCCCATCATCTCCATGGAGGGCAGGCACGACGGGCCGCTGCGGATCGCCCTGCTGGGTCAGAACGGAGTCGGGAAGTCCTCCCTGGCTCTCGCCTTTGCCGGTGACATGGACCGGGCTGCGTCGGTGGATTCCGACGGTACGCAAGATTAACAGAGATGGTAAGTAAACAGCAGCGTGTGTCGTCCGAGAGCTAACAGAGGCTGTCCTCCATCCTTAGGGGAGGGCTACGTGCGCACAGTCAGTGTGGATGACGAGGAGAGCACCATCGTTATCTATGACAACTGGAGACAGGTGAGCCAAACAACACCTCAGGGTCCGCTCTGCTCCCAGCTCCCTCATTAGGCCGGCCGAGACCTCTCTGCAGCTGTAACCCATATGAGCTCACCTACTTTTCAAACTTTTCACAGAACTGTATGTTTTCTTCTTTTTTTTTGACCTAATTCCTGGTTTGGTAAGGGAGAAGTTTTCATTTCCCTTCCTTTATTTAAGGTTTATACTGCAAAAACACAAAATCTTACCCAGTAATATACTGTCTAGGTTCTTTTCCAAATATCTTATTTCTCATTTTGAAATAAGATGAGCCTACAAGTAACTTTTGAGCAAGATATAAGAGCTTGTTTTAAATCAATAATTCCTGAAAACTACTACTTCCATAGGTGGAGTATTTCACTTATAACAAGACATATTTCCCAAGTTATAAGTGAAATAATCTGCTAATGGATCTAGCACTTTTCAATCATTATTAAGGAATTATCGACTTATCGTGCTGAAAGGTTACTTGCAAGTTAGTTTTATCTTATTTCAAATGTACTGAGATATTTGCACTAGAAGAAACTAGACCAAAATTACCTCTGTGAAGATTTTGTGTTTTTGCAGTGTAGCGAAGGATGAAAATAGACTCCAAATAAGCGGCATGTAAATTTTTTATTTCAGCTCACCCCCTGGATGCACGATGCTTTAGACAGGCTACCAGTACAAACATTTAAAGCATCTAAAAGAACAAAAAGCAAAGAAAACAGGTGCTATTTGGAGTATTATTGCTGTATGCATAAGCAAGTGAAATAAAATCTGCTCCCATTCTGTACCAGGAGATCATTGTTTTTGTTGGTTTTTTTTCGTGTTTTGTTCTTGTCAGCACTGTGGCAAAAATAATTGCCCAGGCTGGAGAGGTGTCGTGACAAAAAATAAAAAAAGGAGAGGAGAGTAAATCTGCAGCATGTGCATCTGTTCCAGCGAGGAGCGCTCGCTCTCGGCTTGTTTGCATATCTCTTCCTCTTTTCCCTCGAGTGCGTTTCAGAGGCGTCTGTGTGAATGTTGGCTTGAGCCGCCCACAGCCTGGGAGTGCCAGCTGACTGCGTTAGCGTTTCTGATTTAGACGGATGTGTGAAAAATACCGAAGGCTCATGATTTTGTTGCTGCACTCCGTCTTTTTTTGGGGTGGCGGCTCTTAAATTTGGAGTGGAGACATTGTCCGTGCTTATCATCACCAGTTGGTGCTTAGCAGTGGCGGTCCAGGCCCGTATGGGGCCCCCAACAGGTTTTAACATGGGGCCCCTCTGACTACCATAAATCAACACATCCAACTAATATCTGCTTTGTGCATTTGAAAGCACTGTATATCTGCATTTGTAAGCCTTACATATATAACAGCTTTATTAGTAACTTGGACCTCCATGTTGTTGTTGTCTTTTTTTACCTCTAGCAGCTGCAGTCCTTAAATACAGAGATTTTTTTTTTTTTACAAAGAAAGAGCAATGGCAGCATTGACTAAAATAGTTTTCTCAATTACGTTAATTTCAGTGTCATTCAGAAGTTTATATATACTCATCAATAACGTGAATGTTACACTGATTTTCAAGCTTTAAAAAGCAATTTGACAAAGAGGTATTTTTAGGCTAGATTGTTAGGTAGGTTGCATTTAAATCGGTTTTCTGAACTATTAGGCAACAATGAAAATAAGTATGTTAGGAGAAATCGATTAGAAAAGTAAACAACACACTTTAACTGTCCAGCATGGTGGTGGTGACATCATGCTGAGGGTCTGTTTCACTGACAGTGTTGCACAAAGTTGGTAGAATGGCGAAGGAGGAGGACCAACTCTAAATCTTTTAACTTCACCTCAAATCAGCAGCTCATCCAAGAAGGCGACTGATCACAGAAGCACAATGGATAACCAGAGCATGTGTTTTTCCAAAACCTTTGAAATGCTGTGTTTCTTCATTAAGGTTTGAAATAAAATGTCCTGTTTCCCTTTGACGTCCTCGTTCCATAAAAGTAGCATCTGCTGGGGATTCCTCGCAACAGCTGTGTGTTTTTATTCCACATCTTGTTGAAGTGCAGTGTTTCGACGTGTAAATGACTGAGTCTCCACCTTTTTTTTTATTTATTTATTTTTTATCTGTTTTTACCTTCCCACAGGACCTGTCGGCTCTCCAGTGTGAAGTGTGTGTCCTCGTGTTCTCCGTGACCGACAGGCGCAGTTTCCACCGCACGGCCCAGCTCCGTCTCCTCCTGAGAGAGACGCAGCCTCAGACTCCCATAATCCTCGTCGGTAACAAGAGCGACCTGGTTCGCTCGCGCGAGGTCACAGCTCAAGGTGCGTTTCCATTCTCCGCCCACCTCTCCCCGTGGTTTCGCATGCGCCTCTTGCTCTCACCCCAGGTGGCGGGATTTCCTGCTATTGTAATGGCAGTAAACAGCGACGTGAATGTAAAACTGCGTGTCTCACCGCGGTGTGGGAGTGTAGAGGGTGCCACAATTACAGTCAGAGCTGGAGAGCGTTTGTAGTGAGTGTGCGGCTGCCTCTTCACATTCATAACACTTTCGCAGCATTCAGGCTGTGTGACAGTGTGTTATTAGCTCCATTACGCGAAGGTTAAACATCACATCGATTTTGATAAACACCGGTGGCACTAAAGTCAACAACATCCTAATGGCGTAAGTGCTGTGCATGTTTTGTTTTTTTTATCAATCGGGAAATACACTTACATAAATCAAGGATTCACAAACTTTCCCGCCCCAAACAGCGCAGAACCGCTTAGCAAACCCATAGACAGTTCTACAAAATATGTAAAGAGACATCGACTATTATGTTTTGTTTCCTCACTTTTATTCACTAATCAATGATTATTACATATGTTTAGCAAATGGACGGTTCCATTGAGTCTTTTTCCTGCCCATTTTGCACTTGCTATGCTAGTTCGAGGAGCAAAGATTAAAAAACACTAAGGTGGCAAATAACGTTACAGTTAATTATTTTTGCTTTATAATATTGATTGAAAAATTATGATGGAGTATTACGGCCGCGCTAAAAGCAAAAATAAAAAACAATAAATCACAGTTATAAAGTCATAAAATCACAAGAATAAAGTCATAAATATCAGAATAAAGTCGTATGAGTTTGAACTCGTTTTAATACCACAGAAAGTTGTATTGTGAGCCTAAAGTCGTAATGTTGTGCCTTTATTTTCCTATTATTACAACTTTATTCTCACAACTTCATTTCTTTTCTTTTTTTTAATGGCATGGGTCTAGTATTCTGTTTATAATTAGAAAAGTTCAGCTCAGTCAAATTTTTTCATTTCATCTTTATTTTTTTTTAGTTTTCCTCCAGCCCCCCACTATAATAACCACCAAGATAAATGATAAATTCTTTAACAATTGTCTTAAATTATTTAAATCTGTGTGCCTTAAAGAAATAAAAACAAAAAACAAAATGAGGATTATATGTGTGGAAAAACCAATTACAGCCTTCCTACTTATAGGACTTGAGAGGGAAAGTAGCGGCTTGGGGTTCACCAAGTAAGTGTGCCCTGTAAATTGTTTAATTAAGCAAGTGTGGTGAGTTCTGCTGCCTATCAGCCTGGAATAGGTTATAAGAGCATTTGCTAACAATTACAAGTTCATTATTCAACAGCGAGAAAGATTATTCAGAAGTTGAAAATATTCTGGGCAGCCCCAGACTCTTTTTCCTCGTCGTCGTAATGTCATATTTTGCATGGAAGTTTGAGCAGAGAGATTAATTGAACAGAATTTGGAATAAATCTGCAACAAAAACAAAACGTGAGAAAAGTGACGCACCGCGAATGCTTTCTGGATGAGCTGTATGCGAAAGAAAACTATCAAGGTGTTGCAATGGCTCAGTCAAAGTTCAGATCTCAACTTGACTGATGTTTTTGCAAGTTATTGCAGCTAATGTGGCTCTATGAGTCACATGTCCTGATAACTGAAATACGGGGTACTTTCTTTAGACATTATATAACATTTGCCAGATTTACACACGAACAGTCAAAGAATGTCGCGTTTTAAATCAACCACAGTGCACCCTGCCGTGGGAAATGACTGCACTGTTCATTATGTAAAAGCTTCTTAATGTTACGACTGTCTGGGGTCTTTGAGGCAAGTTATATTGATTACTGTTCGTGCTGCTAATGGCGCCAAAATATCTGCTAATAGCAGAAAAATCAGCGCAGCAACATTGTTTCTGTTTGTAAAGAAAATGTCCTTCTAGTATGATGCAAAACGACTCCAAAATACACTAAAGACGCAAACCTTGGAGTGCTGACCCTCTGTTCACCCACTCTGCCTCTGTTTGATCCACAGCTGCACACATTCATATGTCTGTTTTCAAATCATGTACGGGTTGTCTAATGTGTGAAGTTTCTACATGATTGCTTTTCTTTATTTTAGCTTTTTGACAAAAAAGAAAAACCTTTAATGTCAACACGAAAACTGATTTCAACAAAAATAATGACAAATAATTACAAATATTTAACATAAAATAAAGGATTGCATTATAATTCACTACCTTTAAGTCAATATGTCTAATAGGCACTGGATCTGTGTTAATATGGCCCAGACCTAAATCTAATTGAGATAATACTTGTAAATTATGTTCACAGATGCTCTCCATCCAAACTGGCTGAGCTAAAATGATTTTGCTGAAGAGAACAGAAATAAATTTCAGTCAGAGTAAAAAACCTAATAAAGATGTTAATAACTTACAGAGCAGTGAAACCTGATTCTGTGAAGCAATAGCTTCATCTTTATATTTGCATCATTTTCATTCCACTACTTAGAGTTGGTCCGCCACATAAAATCCTAATAAAACACCATGAAGCTTGTGGTTCTAAAGCAAAAACATATATATGAAAAAGTTCAGGGCTTATTAATATTTTTGAAAAACACTGAAAATGTTCTTAAAACTAAAAACTTTTCGCCCAGAATCTAACTCTAAATGTCATCATCAGAGCCGGACCAAGGGATACGCAAGTTAAGCAGCTGCTCAGGGCCTCCACAACACTAGGGGCCCCCAAGAGCATCCTTTGATTTATTTTTGTGGTGATAGATTTCACCTTGTGCACATTTTTTGCACAGCTGTGCAAAATTTTTAAAACGGAAGAAATTCAATTTGCTAACTTTGCTTACTGCATATTCGGTGTTTGTCTGCAGTTGTTACTTTCAAGTTAATATGCCATTACTTAAATACCACTCTGCATTTCAAAATGCAGATTAATCAGAGCATCTCTGCTTGTTTGTTATTCCCCAATCAACAGCCATAACACCTCTATGATGTAAGCTAATTACAAATGACGCTAATCGTAGTAGGTATTTTACATGTGTAGCGCAGCCTAGAAATTATGAAGTATCTGGGCTTCGACGTGTTGGTATTGGTGGCCCCAAATTAAAATCTGCTTAGGGCCCCAAAAAGGCTTGGGTTATCACATTAAAACCTCTTAAGTAGATGATGGTAAAGATTCTTTGCTCTGACAACACGCGACATGATTTTTATTGACTTCCTTCCTGTCGTCTCCGTCAGAGGCCATGTCCAGCGCTGCCCTCTACAACTGCCTGTATTTGGAGATCTCTGCCTCCCTGGACCACCGCACGCCGGAGCTCCTGGAGTCCACTGTGCGACTAGCCAGAGGTCAGCCGCCGTGGCCTCCGGGATCCAGCGCGGAGGACATGTGCGGAGGAGGTCAGCGAGAGAGCATCACCTCGCGTGCTAAACGCTTCCTCACCAGCCTGATGCCGCGGTACCCGCGCGAGAGGGAAGTGGGCAAGTTCCTGAGACAGAAGTCCCGCTCGTGCCACGACCTGGGGGCGCTGTGATCGCACGCGGCGAGGAGTTTTAATAGCTTAGCAGAAATAACTCGAAGTGATGTAGTAAAGCTGCAGAACGGAGGAGGGAGGGAGTGACGCAGCACTTAGTGGACAAAGATGTAGGATGTGAATGACAGATGGGGGAGGGGGTGTGCGAATTTACCGGAGAAACAAACGGGAAGGTATCGCAGTATGGTGTGAAGGATCATCCGGCGCACAGGAGGAGATGGGAAGAAAAACTAGCTATCATGTCAAATGGCGAATTTTTGTACACAAGTTTAAAGAAAAACAAGAAAAACACTAGTGTAAATAAGCTGTAGATGTGATACCTAACTGCCACAGCTTTAAAAGCGAAATAAATTGCTTTTTTTTTTGAGCCTTCAAATGGCTGTTTCACGTTGGCCTTGAGTTTTTATTTTTATTCTTTATTTTTCTGTTGTCACCTGGAGCGGATGGGAAGTAATCAAAGTATTGGAAAGAAACACACAGCATAAAGGCATCTCTGCAGATATCCGTAACCTTTTACCGGGTAAGACCTCACATTGCGCTCATTTCTTTTAAGCTGTAATTGCATCCATGACGACGGCGGAGGAGCCACAAAGGGCAGCGAGGACAGACAGGAAATAAAGAGATCCACAGAGTAACAGCAAGGCAGGAGATGCAAAAGAAAAGCAGATTATTGTATATAGACCAACTGTTGCCATGTTACTGTTGTCTAGGAAACCTGGAGTCAGAGACTTGGACATTATGTCCACTCTAGCTCTCTGGATTTGTCTCTGCTCTTCGGTTAGGGAACAAGGAGGTTGGGTGTTGGTGATTGCATTGTATTTTTAAAGTGAATACTTAAAATAATTTTTAAAAATGAAGATCTTCATTTTTCATGGACTCATCTGTACACTCTGCCCACAGTACTTCTGTCCTCCCACGGCCACCCACACATGCAAAGATCCTGGATCATTATACTTTTGTTTTTATCAAGAAGAAAAGCTGAGATATCATAGAAGAAAGGAACAGAAAATGGTGGCACAGTAGTCATGAGTCATTCTCTTGGCTACAAACTACTGGAATGAAATGAAAGGTTAAGATTTTGCACAGGAAAGGATTAGCCTCAGGCGCCCTCTGGCGGTTTATCTGGAGTCCTGCAGCACAGGAGATAGAGATATAGCAAAGTGTTTTTCTTATTTTAATTTATTTATTTTTTTAGCAGCAGTAGTGATACTCAGAGCAAACCAGGTGTCATGCAGATGGTGTTGTGGGAGTTTTAACACAAGCAGTGAGGAGGAAAAATATATGTCAACCGTGTGTCTTTTTTTAAAAGAGTAATTTATAGAAGGCACAACAACAAATTACACAGCAGATATGAGAAACTGGGAGGTCAACTCCCAAAAATGGGCATTTGCCTGAGTGAAGAGTGTACAAAATTTGTCTTAAGATTTATTTTTCTTACTATGCAATTACAATGCAGAATTGCGCTGTTGAAATCCAAGTGTGCTTTAAGTCATGCAAGTCATTCATCCAGTTCCCCGTTGTGTTTTTGAGTTAAAAAATGTCTAAACTGGACAGAAAATTTGATGTGTTATTGAAATATTGGACAATTAATACCTGAACACCAACTATAAAGTCTTAAAAATGCAAACATTTTAAATAAATGTTTGCATGCTTATTTAAAGACTTAAATAAGCAATACTTAGCCTGGTGGGGGCACAAGTAAAGCCTGATGGCCCGCCAGGCTTATAATGCCCTGGGGGAAACCCTGGAAACCTTATAATGCTGCATTTTACATTCTGCTGATGAAGTCGATGGATTAAACAGACAAAATAAATGGCCATTTTATTAATTCTTGTTTTAATGGAATGATTCAGGAAGATCTACAGTTAAAGGACAAAGGCATGATATGGATTTAGGGCACAAGTCGGTCTAAGCTACTTAGAGGCTACAAGCCTGTAGTTTTTGGTCAGCAAGCTTCAGAGACACCCATGTGTTGAGCATGGAGGCCCTCAGCTTGCACCACACCAGGTGGTTGCTCAAGCCGATGATCTGGGCCGCAAACTGAGCCGCAGCATCAGGAGAGAGGATCGTGGAGCAGCCCAGGCCTGTGGAGGACACGGAAGACAAGAAAGCTTAGAGGCTGTGACAGATCAACCCACCTCTTGTTAATGGTACAGCAAACAGGACGCCGAGTGCTCTGCTCACCACTCGGCAAACGGAGGGATGACCAAACGTCTTGTGCTCCCCAGTCTGGAGTGAGAGGGGGGCAGTTGATGACGGGATAAGCGGTGTTTCCAGACATCACCGGCCCCAGGCCGTTACTCCTGCCAGCTACAGCCACGAATATAGTAGGAACCCCGTCACCTAGGGGTGAAAAATAAGTTAAAAAAAACAAAAAAAAAAACACATAGGGCAACACCTATCAGTTAGCCCTTTCATCATAAGAAATGCATACCTTCATATTCTGCTTTAATACGGAGGGTCTCATCTGGGCCTTTGTGAGCAGACGTGACCCTCAAGATGCAGGGGAGTCCATAGGAGGTGCAGGCCTTCTTGATTTTCTCACAGTGAGCCATATCAGAGGTGGAGCCCATCAGAACAACCACCCGGCCGCTGGCTTGGGGCTCCAGGAGGAGCTACCAATAACACAGGGATCAAGACCCACATTAAGCACACTGCAGGCGTTAATGTTTAAGAAGAACACCAACTAGTGCTACAGAGTACTATACAAGAACAGCAATCTGCATGCTCATGCTTCTGGTCGTGTTTTTTCATATTTTCCCATCCACTTGAATTTCAGAAAGACAGTCATTTTCCAAATGGCCGCCGTTTGACTCTAAAAGCAATTATTGCCATAAACTGTTCCCTATTTTTATGACTTGGATGTCAGTGGATAGCTGTGACCACCATTGACAATAACCATTACCAATTATAGTGAAAATATACATGCTCCACTATAATCATTTTGAAAAATGTCCAGAGAGAAGAAGAAAAAAAAAGTAAAAATCAAGAAAATATACATGATTTGTATTGCTCAAAATATATAGGCTACGATTTGACACTAAACACTTTCACCTAGTTGGAAAACGTAAAATCATTTCCCATGATGACAAAGGTGGCCATCTTGAAAAATCAAAACATCATCAGTAAATATGATTTGTGGGTCCAATTGTGTACGATTTGCCATCAAAATTACTTATCTGCTCAGGGATCATCTTGGAAAATTGCTGCCATCTTGAATTTCTTCAGTGGCTAGCATGTGAAAATTTTTGCTGAAATATTCAACCATCTGCTGCACTAAACCAAAGCATTCCTCAGGTACTGATATCAAGTAAATCCTACCTGGACCCTTTCAGAAACCCACTCAAAGTTCCTCTTCACCATCTGCATTGCTTCTGGAGTAACTTCTTTCAGGTCTCGATACACCTGGGGGCGGGGGGAGAAACCCAAAACATTTTAGCCTTTACAGTTCATTGAAGGTACGTCATCATACAATAAAGACGATTACAGTTTCTGACCTGCTTATCTTTCTGCTGGCTCCGATCGCCAGCCGGCCAGAGCCTCCACGAGTCGTTGTCGATGACGTCAGAGAGAACAATCTCCCGTGTTTTAACATTCACGCCAAACTCGATCTACAAAGATTTAAATAGGAAAATAAAATAAGTTCTGTTGTTGGGTAGAGTAAATAACCAGCAGGGGGGGGACTACCTGCCTTCATGTCCACCAGCGTACAGTTTTGAGTAGCCCAAGCCTTCTCTAGAATCTCAAAGATGGCCACTGTGCTGCGGTTCATGATGTCCACCTCACACTGACCGATGGTGAGCCCCGCCAGGCTGAACTTGGCCGCCAGCACCTGCTCCTCGGACCACTGAGGATCGTTGTTGGCGTCGTCCTAAAGAGAACAACAGTCATTCAGCTCGCACCCATTTACAGACGGCCGATTTCAATCATCGTGAGCTTTCGCGCTTACTTTGAAGAACATCTCCATCTTCAGTGGGGTGAAGCGGTAACCCTCTTTGACTCCCGGGTTTCTCTTCAAAAAGGACCCAGTTGCCACTCTGCGACACACCCACTCAATGGGAATCATCTCGCAGTGGGCAGCGGTGAATGCAGTCTCCGAATGTTGCTGCACAAAGGCAGTCTTAATGCCTGCAAAACAAGACAGATGTTAAGAAATGCTCCTGCTTAACGCCAGCCTTAGACTTTAGAAATGTATTCCAGGTTTTTGAAGGAGTTCCAGACATTTTTAATGTTCAAATTCAACACTTTTTCAAACTCAGAAACAGCAGTAGATTCTTGACCATATTTTTCAAATTTAGCATAAGTGTGAAAGTACTAAACAGAAAATAATATGTATGTTTGTATTGCCTTAAAAACACAAAACTTAGATACATCAGTAACTATACGAGTGAACAAATGTATAAAGGGATGGAAGGGCATGACAAATGAACGTCTGTACAAATGGTTCGTTCCAAATGGCTAACTCAAATCTATTATTTAGATGAATGGAAGAATGGGCAAAAACAAAGGGATGAGTGGCTTGGTTAGGGCAGATCTAATTTGTCATTCCTGACATATAAAATACACCAATAAACTTCCAGCCTTTCCAGAGCAGTTAGCAAAAGATGATGGCCTAAAATGGCTCAAACATCATTACAAGAACTGATTGGTTGATTGTTTAAACAGAGAGAACTTCAAAAAGCCATCAGCAGTGTAAAGACAGGCTCCATCCCTCAATGCAATTCTGCTTAATTAGAACGTGACTGGCCCAGTTCTGGTGAATTATGAATAAGAAAGTCACAAGACGGACCCGACTGCCGCTTGATTTACACACACCAGACTGAAGAGGCACATGGCAGAAAATTACCCAGTTACTTCTGCGTAAAGGCAGAGAAAACAAGTGCTTTGGAGATAAATTCATTCGTAGCTGTACTTTGTCTTTACAGATAGCAAATGCCTGATGTTACCGCAGGGCAAACATGTCAAAGCCAGGTGGTCTTCTTTGTCCTTAGTGGTCACCTTACTGATCTCTGGCCTTTCCGTTCGGAATCACCCCAGTATTCATGGCAATCGTTAGTACTCAGCTGCTAATAAGACTAAGGTTGTCGCAATAAGCAATAAATCGCTTGAAAAATTGAAAAAACAAATTCAATAATTTCCCTTTGCCTGATTTATTGTTTCTTCTGTCCATTGCATGGGTGTCAACCAGCCCTTTTTTGAATAAGACAGTTTTGTCTACAGAAACTTCATAATTAATGTTATTTATTTATTTTAGGTATATAAAATGTCTTCTAGTTCTATTGCAAAATGTTCATTATAATTTTAATTTTATTGATTTGAGAATCTGCCTTTGCATTCTTATGCCATAACCATTACATTACTTGAAAATGGTCTCTAAACAACAATATTATTG